TTCGCTTCGCACAACTAGTTTGTTGCACTCAAGTTTTTTAGACCTTTGAATAATACGACTGTGACGACAGTTCCCACTGCGGAGGCCTGGGTCGAGGTGGCCAAAGTCGCGTTAACGAGGATTAACGCGACTCTGTCCCAACTTTGAAAATGAATGCTAGGGGGGAAACAACTAAAAAAAAACATATAATAAGACATCCAAGATGTGCAAATGACTCTGATGCAAACGTTTAAACAGTCTAGCTCTTCTTATGTCATTTCAGAAGATTGTTGAAAATGCCACCTAAGTTTGAGGGTTGATTTAACATGCAATACATAAGACAATGTGCATTTTTTTTTGTGATAGGTGCGTAAAGGTATACTTCATGAACATACTTGCCAAGTTTCATCTGAATAGTTCCAGAAATGCATGAGATATCCATAAAACACTCTTTTTCCCCGCCAAAAGTTTCGACCTTTGCGAATGGAAAATTTGTACTTGTTTGTCCGGACTTTCAGCGCTTTAGTGAAGGAATGCTCGCTTCGCTCGCAAAAATCATGTAAAGGGAGTACACATTTTGTGAAGCTTAAGACCTGATCCAGCATTGGTTGTGGGTGGTCTCTGGGCGCCATATACGTACCGCCATCCAGCGCCATCCTCGATTTCACAGCACCAGTGAGATGGTGCTTCCACAAAGAGCAGCATTTTCACTCAAAAAAGCAGCTAGCGTAATTTTTTGTTTTGTTTTGTGTTGCACAAGCACCTGGAACTTGTCTATGGTCAATCAAACTACAATGATCGGTTACCATTAATCCCATTTACCTCATTTCAGAGATATCCGACTTCCCCCCGCTTTCCGTTGGAAGTCGAGGATTATAGGTACAAAATCAAGGAGGTCCGGCCAGAAAGTTGAAGAGATCTGGATCTGAGTATCTTCACAACACTAACGACACTATCGCCAGGTATTCTGATTGATTGAGGAAAAAGTCGAGCGTACCTGACACAGTATGAAATCACTCAGCCGTTTGACCCCGCTCGTTCTTACGAGGATGTCGAGTGGGGGACTGCAGCCTAATGATGTCATTAGTTAAGCGTCGATGTCCTCTTCGGTGATTTGCCTGAGTGAGTTAAATACGCGATGAGTAGGGAGAAACAGTAGGGGTGAAAGAGAGATGAACACACGGGTTTGAAGGGTCAGCGTTTCGGACACACGATTCAACGGCGGTTGTTATTTCGTCGCGTGATGTATATGACATGCAGAGATTGAGGATAGCGCTGTGTATTATGGTTCAGGTTGGTGGAGTGGAGCGAGGGTGAGATGTACCGTGTATTACGTCGAGTTATATATTCCGCCTTTTGAACTGCGAGTTGGACTTTCTCTGGCAGGAGACTCGTTCTACCCAAAACATTGAGTCTGACACCGTATTCATCAAGAATGTCCCTGTTAGGTGGCCGGAAGGCTGTGAAGCGCCGAAATGAAGGAAGGCAGAATGAGGAACGCACCCATGTTCACAAAGCTCCAGCAGCTTTTCTTCCGCTAGCTGCATTAACGCCTCCACTTCATCTTCGGAGCGTTTGA